AGAAGTCGACGAGCGCGTTGGGCAGCAGAGGCACGTACACGGCGGCGAGCCGCAGCGGCCACACGAGGCCCACGAGCATCTCGCCCACGGCGCTCAGGAGGGAGAGGTGATCGGAGTGCAGCACCACGCGGCGTTCCTAAGGTTATATTGCTCCCATCGCACTTAAGGACCACACCCCAGAAATAATTTCCAGCACCCGGACAAGTGTCGAAACAGTGTCGAAACAACAATGTCGAAACAGTGTTCTCCCAGGGCCCGACACGTGAAAACCCTGGAGCTTCTGTACCTTTTTTGGTGCTTGGAATGCTTTCTGGCGGCGATCAAGGCTAAAGTAGGTCAGAACATCATAATCGGGAGCGGCCAAGAGGGGGGTGTCCAAGAGGGGGGGTGCAAACCATGACCGGCGGCATGTGCGCGGCCCAGCGGGGGGGCCAGGGACGTAATGAAATAAGAAGAGGCGCCATGAAATCTGGGGAAATATCATGGCCCCCGCCATGATATCCACCCCCCCCCCCTGGTCATCACCCCCCTCTTTTCCGCCCCCGACATTGTCCAGAGGTCGGGGGGCGCCAGCTGTGCACATCACACCGATCCGGGCCTGGCCCGGCCTAGGGCCCGCGATCGGTGTGCACGGCCTCCTGGCTGGGGCCGGCGGGCGTGTGCACCGATCCCGGGCCCAGGATGGGCCTGGCCGGGATCGGCTAAGGTGCACCGGCGGCGCACTCCTACCCAAGGAGGAACAAAACAGCATGAATCTCTCTCGGTCTCTCTCTTTCTCTCTCTTTCTCTCTCTCTCTCTCTCTTTCTCTCTCTCTCTATCGCTCTCTCTCTCTCTATGTATATATGTATGTATATGTGTATATTTGTATGTGCATATATATATATATATATATATATGTGTGTGCATGCATACATATGTATCTACATCTCTGTTTGCATCCACAAAACATGCACAGGGAGCTCCACGCAGATCTCTGGATCGGCGCTGGAGGCGCCGCCACGGGGGGCCCAGCGCAGACCCGCGAGCCCCGCGCACCCCTCCGAGCATGTGCGGCCGTGCGGCGCTCTCTCCTCCGAACTCCGCGGCCGGAGGTCCGAGACGGGGCGAAGGAGCGGGGCGAGCACGGCGGCAGCGGTTAGGATGCCACATGCGAGCCCTACCCCTACCCCCCACGCTTTCTGAGGGGGAGGGTGGGGTTCACTTCGCTCGGGGTCCTCCTCCTCCTCCTCCTCCTCCTCCTCCTCCTCTCGAGCTCCTCCTCTCGAGCTCCTTCGTGGGGGGTAGGGGTAGGGTTGGCATGTGGTCCCCCAGGGGCGAGCACGGCGGCATCGGTACCCCTTGTTCCTCGTTTCGCGGGCAGGGGCCGACGGCCCCTCCTCGCGCCCTTTTCTTTTGCCCGCCACCGTGCCTCTGGCACGAAGTAGGAGTGCCCCAAGGCTCATGCGACACTGAGAGTTAGGTTGCACCATCTGGGGGCAGTGCCTATACCCTCTCGGCCCCATCCGCGTCGAATCGGTGTCGAATCCATGTCGGACTCGTCGGATCCGTGTCGAATCCGCGTCGAATCCGCGTCGAATCCGCGTCGAATCCACGCCGAGTCCGCGGCGAGTCCGCATCGAGCCCGCGTCGGGCACAAGAGAACGCACCAATCTCGGGAAAAGGCGAGGTCCCCCGAGGATGCAACGTGATGAGAGGTAGAGGCTGCGCTGCTGCTGCCGCCAGACTTATAAGTCTGTGAGGGCCCGGGCCAGTCGTTTCCCAGGCCGTCTCGGGCCGTCCTGGGGCGGCCTCCGTGACTTCTGGGATTTCTCCTGGGGGTCCTCCGGACGCTGTGCCCGCCCAAAACGTTCCGAGAGAGCCCCGACTCGCCGAACCATGGCTCAAAGACGCGGTCAATGGCCTCCAGGCGGCCCAAGACGCCTCCAAGACGTCCAAACGCGCCTCCAACAGCACCCCCAGGAAGGCCGAAAGAGGCATCAAAATCATACTTGCTAAAAATCTGTCTTCAAGCATGCTTGGCGTTTCTGCCTTTTCGGGTTCCCGACGCTCCAAGACAGGCCGATGGGCCTCCAAGATCGCTCCAAGACGGCCAAAGAGGCACCCAAGAGGGAGTCAAGACAGCACAGGAGGTCCCCAAGACAGTCCGAGAGGCCTCCAACCTGGCTCGACGGGGCCCAGCGAACGCCCCAGGAGAGATCCCCGAGGGAGAGCACGAAGCCTCTCCTCCCCAGTTAGCTCCCAGAACCTCTCCGAGAGCCTCCAGGAAGCCCCCAAGAGACCCCAAGAAGCCCCCCAGGGCATCCGCCGAGGAGCTTCAAGCCAGCTCCAGCACGCCTTCAAGAGCACGCACGCGAGAGGCATTCAGACCCCGGTCGGCGGCAGAGTGCGACATGACGCCACCGCGCCTCCGACGCCGCCCGCAGACACGCGGCAATACCAGACCGCAAGTCGATGCCCTCCAAAAACAGCAGGACGGGCAGGAATCCAGGCAGTAGACATCATAGGCCAGACGATTGAGGCACGGCGAGGTCTGGAACGACGCAGCCATTCCCCCAGAAACACAAAGAATACATCCCCGGCAGCCGTCAAAGAGGCCTCCGACTCACGGCCCAGGCACAGTGGCGGGATGGACCGCAAGCCATTAGGGTGCATATGTACGTACATGTATACATGTATACATCGACACATCTAAAGATACATACATGCATCTACAAATGTAAAGACACATGTGCACAGATGTGTACATGCCCAAACATCTGTATAGAAAGACCTACCACGACATGATCCGGAAAAAAGAATGCTCAAGAACCAGACCCGTGCTCTCAGAACTTTACTGACGTCATTCAACCTTAAACAACTGGACTCAAACGTGATGCAAGAGCGTCGTCTGCACACCACGAGGCTCTCACAACATGCTCGAGTGGGCGCAAGGGCAGGACAAGACGCTTCGCCCAGAGGCCTCCCAAACGAGGTCCGAGTACATTGCGTCGAAGGATCGCGTCGCATCGCCAAGTGTACCATCGATGCATCGGCGACGCATCGGCGACTCCGGCTACGCATCGGCGATGCGGTGCGATCCACCGACCCCGTCTACTTTGACCCCACCTGGGGTTGGACGTCCGAAATGGGTGCGGAAAAAATGGGTACCATGCCCAGCGACAAATGCTGTCCAAAATCAACAGCGGCCGCTGTTGGGCAGGTGGCCTGATGCCTCACATGGACAACGCCCACGGCGGCGTGGACAGCGAGCCATGTTCAAAATGAGCAGGAAACGCGGTCGGTCTTTGTACCCAGTGGTTCGTAACGGTTCGTACCCACTTCGATCGTCCCGATGAAAGGCCTAGCCACCCTTCCCTGGCAACTCATGGGAACCTCCCATACCATCTCGTCGGCTCTTGCGAATCGACGTTAATTGACGCTCTAAGTCTACGCTAGTCGACGCTACATCGACGCTCATCGACACTAGCCGACGCTAAGCCGGCCCTACTCATCGAATCCCAGACGCTAATCGACGCGACGCCAAAGGCAAAACCACGAGGGCAAACCATGCTTCCGTGAGCTGTCACCGAACCACCCTGAGCTCCAGCAGCAGCGCCTCCACGAGGAAAACCACGTTCTCGGGCCGCAGCCGCTCGAAGAGCAGCCGCAGCGGCAGATCCTGGGACGCACAAGAGACAGACCAGTACTGTGCGTCCTCCTCGGAGGCGCGAGGCCGACCCGAACATGACAGTATAGCCAAGGACTGAACCTAAACGGTGTTTTCCGTTTTCGTTTTGCCTTCGTTTTCCCTCGTTCTGTCTTCGATCCGCTTTTGCCACAAAACGAGGTCGAAACGAAAACGGGCCACGAGATCGCCAAAACACAGTTTAGGTCCAGCCCTGGTATAGCCATCTTGCAACACATCGTTTCCCGAGCGGTACGGCTAAGTCGGGCGTGCCGCCCTACAGGGGGATCTTCGGCGAGAAATAAAACATACTCAAAAATGCCCAAAGTTGCAAACAAATATTCAAAAGTAGTCCCAGACTATTTTTTGATTATGTTTGAATGTTCCCCCTGTAGAGGGACACGCCCGACTTAACGGTACGGCCAGAGAGCGCCCGTCACGACGCGCATGCCGTGAGATCTCTCGGTGCGCGCGTCGCCCCTGGGGAGGGGGGCGACGCAGGCATGGCAAAGCAGGGACCCGACCACGAGAAACCCAACCCTGAGACCCCAGGATTGTGGATGCCACGACAGTGGACACCCTAACAGTCCTGTCATTGAATTTAAAATGTGTTCAAATGTGGGAAACATGTTCTAAACGTGTTTTAGCCATGTGTTTTTTTTTTCACATGGTTGACACATCTTTGAAACATGTCTTAGACCTCTGGAAATTGTTTGGCAACATGCCTCCTCTTCATTGATCGTCCTCCGCAGCCCCGGGACGCACCTTGATCTTTGGCGGGGGGGGCGCTACGACTTCCGATGGCACATGAGCCATCGAAACCTCAAACAGCAACAAAACAACAGGGCAGGGGGTCGGAGCGGATGGGGTCGGAGGATCGCACCGCATCGCTGATGCATCGGCGATGCATCGGCGATGCACCAGCGATGCATCGATGACATCGGCGATGCATCGGCGTCATCGACGTGAAGCACATCGGGCTCCGCATCGAGCCGCACCGCCGATGCATCGGCGATGCGGAACGATCCTCCGACCCCATCCGCTCGGACCCCATCTAGGAGGCCTACACGTCGTTCGTTTCTAATCGTGCTCATTTCTGATTGTGCGCGTTTCTAATAGTTCCTGGCCCCCTAGTGGCCAGGAAGAGGCCCAGGATAGAACAACTAGAAACGAAAGGATCTTGGCCCCCAAAAATCAAAGAAGTATCGAAGCATAGGAAGTGAACAATGCGTAGAGCTCGTTCGCTGGGGCGCCGCCGAGGTCCAGCAACGGCAACTGGTTCGGGGCCGGGCGCCGTAGCACCAGCGGCGCCTCCCGGACCCTGCAGGCGCCCGCCTCGCGGCGGCGCCGGCCGCGCGCGCGCACCCGAGCAGCGGCAGCGACAACAAAGGATAACGTATGCTGTCGTTGCTCTCGTTGACGCTGCCATTATTCTCGCTATCGCTCTTATCGTTGCTATCGTGGCCGCTGCTATCGTTAGCCTTGTTATCCTTGTTGTCGTTGGTATCGGTATCGTTGTCGTCGTTGTCGTTGTCGCTGTTGTCCCTGTCGTCGTTGTCGTTGTCATCGTTGTTCTCGTCGTCGCGTCGTCGTTGTTATCGTTCTCATCGTTGTTACCGTTGTCAGCACAGACCGTGCACACCGAATTCCGTAAGGAAGACAATGTTAGATCCCCCCCCAGACGAGCAGTTCTAGCCCAGACCCCACTGGAAACCTCCAAACTTAACTCGAGTCAAACCCCCTCCCCAATCAGATCACCCCCCTTTTATCGTGAACCCCGGGACAGCAAGATCGACGAGACGTCACAGGACAAAGCAGAGACCCGTTCGATTGTTATTCGCGGTCACGTCCGTGACCGGCCCCACCCCTCGTCACATCACGATTCGCGCCGCGCCGTCTGGGAATCAGCCATTCCAAAACATTTCCAAATGGCGCCGTCGCGAAACGTGACGTGACCGGACCCCTCCCCCCCTCCCCCCCGGTCACGCCCATCATCGCCAGGAGAAAAAACTGTCTCTAGGATTAACGACTGGTCTGCGCTGGCTGATTATCGCCTCTATGAGATCGTGAGAAGTCTTGGAGGTGCCTTCCATGAGAGCTCACAAACAGGTCAGCGACAATCGTGCAACAAAATTGAGATCCTGAGACCCGCGCGTTGCGATTCTTTTCGCACTGACCGCAGCTCAAAAACGGTCCCCAGACCCCTTTCGGGGTCCAAACGTGCCAGATTTCCGAGCTGCGTCCAGAGGCCCCCCCGCAGGCCAATTACCTTATCTCAATTCGCCCTCCTATGAGCATAACCCTAGATGCAAAAAGCGCGTCGTGGCAGAACCCACCTCGTGGCCCCCCGACACCGGCGTCCCATGGCAGGGTTTCTCAGAAGCCCTCGCACACTCTGAGACGCCGTCTCTGTCTTCGGAGTCGGCCTACAAGACTTCTCAGAAGGCGCGAGGGCTTCTGAGAAGCCACGCTGCCTTCTGATGAGGTCGGGGCCCAAAAAGCGTGTGGTGACGGACCGCGTGGTGATCTCGGAATCCCAACAGACTTCATTGCGCGGTCCGTCACCACACGGCCCTGGGACCCTGGAAGCCCCAGTCGCCCGAGACGTCCTCAGAGAACAGCCCGAGTCCCAAAACCGCGCGGTGGCCCAGGATCCCCACTGACTCACCACGCGATGTGGTCACCACACCGGCTGGAGTTCCCCGACATGGCCTGCCCCCTTTCACTTCCCAAAGATCCTATGTCGTGATTGTTTCAAGACAGGGTCCCTGGATATCTCGAACCATTCCTCAGGACCGGCTTGTCATCCTGAGTCGTCTTTTGACGGTCCCAGGGCATGGCGAAGGCCCTTCGAGGCCGAAAAAATGCGAAAAAACTCCGTTATGATGTTTTCAATGCGTTGGATCTCTGGGCTCCCCCCAGGGCTCGCCGCCGAGTTCCGAAGCTGGCCCCGAGGCTGGGGGGACTGGGCTGGGCTGGGCACACTCCTGAGGCCAGCCGCTCGCCGGGGCTGGTCTCGGAGATGGTCGGGGCCAAAACCAGACTTACCAGCCTGGAACATATCCCTATCCCTATGCTGGGCACCTCCCCATCACGATGCCAATCTCAGGGATTCCCTGATTTTTTGAAGGCGAATCCCTAAGATTGGCATCGCCTTTTGGCGTGTCAATCTTAAGGATAGGGATACATTCGAGGCTGGTAACAGACGGGCAGGCCCCCCGCCTCTGGGGGAACCAAGAGGCACCGATGCCGCGCCAGTCCCCGGACCCTTCCCGGGGTGCGTTCTGACCAGGACTTCGGGGCGGATCCAGCGGTGGCGGCGAGGGCCGCCGCCCCGTCGCCTCCTCGCCGCCGCCCGTCGTCTGGGACTGGCGGCTATGCTGTTGGCGCCGTCACCGCCCCCGTCGCCGCCGTCGCAGCCGCTACAAGGTCGATCGTGCATTGTTTGCTTGCTTGGGCTTGCACTTGCTCTGCATCGCATCGCTTTGCGGTGCTGTTCACTGCTTTGCATTGCGCTGCGCTTCGTTGCTTGACATTGCCGTGCGATGCTGTGTCTTGCCTTGTGTTTCTTGTTGTGCGTTGCGTTGAGTTGTTTTGCATGACTTTGCTTTACATTGCTGTGCATCGCGTTACTTTGCCTTGCATTGCGTTGCTGTGCGTGGCATTGGTTTGCATTGCTTTGCAGTGCATTGCGCTGCATTGCGTTACATTATTATACATTATCTTGCAATGCTTGGGACTGCTTTCCATTGCTTTGCATTGCGTAGGTGTTCCTTGTGTTGTGTTGCGCTGCATCGCGCAGCATTGCGGTGCAGTGTCTTGTTGTGTGTTGCTCTGCGATGCTTTGCGAGGCATTGTGTTGCGTTGTTGCGCGCTGCGTTGCATTGCTTTGCGTTGCTTTGCGTTTCTGCGAATTGCTTTGTCTTGCTGTGAATTGCGATGCTTCGCCATGCTTTGCAATATTTTGAATTGCGTTGCTTTGCGTTGCATCGCGGTGCCTTGCTGTGTGTTGCTGTGCGCTGCTTTTCGTGGCATTGCTTTGCGTTGCTGTGCGTTGCTCTGCTTTGCTTTGCCTTGCGTTGCATTGTTTGGCATTGCTGTGCATCGCTTTGTCGTGCTTCGTCCTGGTTTACAATGCATTGTCCTGCTTTGTGTTGCGTTGCAATGCATTGCTTTGTGACGTATCACTTTGTGATGTGGTGCGTTGCGTTGCATGGCATTGCTTTATCTCTTTGTTTACAAAGATTTGCATTGCTATGCCGCGCTGTGACATTGCCCCGCAGTGCATTACAGTGACCTGCTTTGCGTTGCATTGCTAGGCCGTGGCGTTCGCTGCGCTGCATTGCGTTGCATCGCTTCGCGTTGCTTGCAAGGCACGCCATTGTAATCACACTGCGTTGTAACCACGCTGCATCGCGTTGTTTGGCCTTGCTGCGCGCTACATAAAATGCACCGCGCAAGTGAACCACATAGATTCCCCTTTCTACAAGAGCATTCGGATCTCCCCCCCCCGCCCCCTTCCAGATTTAACGGGCCACCTTGTTCGCACTGCAAGGTGCGCATGCTTCTGTCCCATCACCCATCCAAAATAGGAGCTCGCACGATCCCAGCCAAACGGGCAACGCCCACCCCTCGGCCCCGCAAGCATTTCAAAACCGATGGCTCCGAACACATACAACAAACACAGGGTTTCGCTACATAAGTGCGCAAACAAAAAACTTGCGCTCTCGCTCTTGCAGAGTCTATACAACAGCCGCTAGGTTTCTCAACGTGCGCATGGCATGCTACCAAGCGGTCCTCTGGCGCGCGCGCGCCGCAATCGCTCGAACGCGTTTGCGCGCGTGCTGTCGCAGCCGCCCCTTCCGCGCATTGGGACGAACTGCGCGCGCGCGCGCCGTCGCGCGCGCATGCCGAAATCCGTCAAAAACCTCCAGCTTCGCAAAGGGTCAGAACCAAGTGCCCTCAAAACAAATGCATGATACGTGGTGTCGCAACATCCGTTTTCAAACATGTCGGCGCCCGCGCCCCCGCGAATTGTTAAGAGCGCAATCTTTCCCGTGGGAATTAGATTCGGCCAAGCGGGCCCCTCGCGCCGCGCGTCGCAATCATTCGAGCGCTCTCGCGTGCGCGCGGGGGTGGGGGGGGGGGCGCGATCCGCGTCGCATGATGCCGCGCGGGCCACTCGCGCGCGTCGGCCGCGCGCGCGCGTCGAACTCCATTTAAAACCCCCATCGCCGAAGCGAGGACAGCGTCCTCGTTATTGGCGGGCGTCATCAACATCGGCGCCGCCATTGGCTTTGCCGTCGTCGTCGCCACCATTGCCACCATTGCCGCCGTCGTCGTTAGTTGCATGATCGCGTCGGCCGTCGTCGGCGTCGCAGCGATGCCGCGGACGCCCCAGTCACCCACTTGCGAAGAAGTGCCCGCTAGGAAGTGTCGGCGGTCCGCGCCGCCGCGGCCGCGTCGGTCGCGCCGAACTAGCTGGCCGATGCGCGCGCGAGAATGCGCGGGCTAGCGCGGCCGCTGAGACTTACCCGCCAGAGCCAAGCACTGATCGCAATCGACGACGCATGGGTTTTGCAAACCAACTTGTGGGCGGGTGGGTGGGATGTCTGCATGGGCATAGAATTCCTCCTTTTTTGTTGAAAAAAAAAGCCAAATAGATGCGAAACACCCCCTGGAGATTATCCGCCCCCCGCTCCGCGTTGCAATTTGCATATGATCCCGCCGCGTCGCTCATCCGAAAAATGGGCCCGCGCCGCCCCGGCCGAGCCGGCGTCGGCCCCCCCCCGCCATGTCTTGCAACAGAACTACGCGCGCGGGCTCGCATATCGGAACTCACCAGTTCCCCAAAAACCCTTCGCAAGAAAATTGGGCGAAGCGCACGCGCGCGCGTCGTCGCGCGCGCGCCAAAATCCTTCAAATACCATAGGTCTGGCGTGGATTTCGAAATCGAGTGCCCTGAAAACACATATACATATATATATATATATATATATGTATAGATATGTATATAAATGTAGGTGTGTATATATACATATTATATGCATATCCGCAGGTCCACCCGTGAGATGTCCAGATCTGCGTTTCTTGCGCAAAGGATGCGAGTGCGAACTCAGAAGCGCAGTGCCAGTTCTGCAGCGACGCCTAACAAACCCCCCTGCTCTCGAGAACAAATCGTCGTCTTGGTGCCAGGGGCCCGCCGCGCAGCGCGCGCGCGTCCTGCCTCTTCCGGGATGAGCCTGCGGCCGATCGTCGGCCCACAAACTTCCGAATATGCGCCGGCGCCGATCGATTATCTGGGCCCCACCTTGCGCGCGCGTGGTGGACCCATC